GAGCCAACACATCACAAAATTTCCCGATAGTCACCTGTTACCTTTAACCAATCAAAATCGTGAAATTTGATTAATCCTGGATCAGTCTGAAAATCAAAACAAATGATTAAACTCAATTATCTCAAAATAAAATTTATGTAAAAAAGGGTTGTTTTAATAGATAACACCCCATATAACAGTAATATTTTGATAGCACTTTCCCAGTATCGCCACCAAAAAGTTACTATCATGTGATTTTTGATAAAATTCTTTAAAGCTTATTTAGATTTGGGTTAGGGTCTTTGTTAAGGTTTGGGTTTAGAGATTTTAATAGCAAAATCATTCAAAGAAAACTTTTTGTTCATGCACAGATGGTTTTCTATACAAAATCTCAAGTTACAGGTGATTTTTAACAAAACAAACGTTTGTTTTGTTTTAAAATTTTTTGATTATGTAATATTACACCTAATCTTGAAATCTGATTTGTTTTAAATCATGTGACAGTAACTTTTTGGTGGTGATACTGGGGTAGTTATTTTGATGGCAATGCAGTGGTGCAAAACCTATATTTTTGATACTTCTGCATCTACTTTTTTTGATACATCTAAATATACTCTATTGTGAATGAATTACGGTAGATAGTTGGCGTATTGCAAAATTATTTTCATCTGTTGAATTGAACAATATTAGAGACTGCCGAAATGATTTATGCTAGTCGTTATTAGAATCGTGAAAAAATGAACGATCACAAAAGACAGCAAGAGCCTATAGAAGGTCATTTGATAGTTGGCTGATGTAAATACATTGTCTAGATAACATAATGTTTCACTAATAAAAATACAATTTTTTTTTTACCGTTATCTTCGCAAGAGCATGAATATTCACGATACAAAATAATAAAGATCGGGAACCTAAAGAACTTCGCTTAGAAACAAAATGCTGTATACCTACTGTTTATTGGATCATATCAAATTATACTGTAACTAAAAACGCTTTTGTCTAAAACTTATAACTGTTTAATATGAATAGGTACAAGATCTTTAATGAGTTTGGGTTTATTACATACTCCTCTATAATCACCTCCTATATAATTACCTTAAATTTTAGAATTTTATATGAGTATTGCTAAACATCACCGCAGGTGATCATCACCGCTACTATGGCAATGAACTTTTGTGCACTAATTAAAAGTTTTCAGAACAAAATTTTCATATATAATTTCACTTTTCTTATTCTAACCCTGCCTAAACCTAACTCTAAATATCGGTTCCTTAAATAAATCTGTAATAGAGCAGTGATGATCACCTGCGGTGATCTTTAGCAAAATTCATTTTATATAATCACATTTTTTGCATACGTACGTACGTACGTACGTAGAACAAACTGAGTGATTATAGAGGTAGTAATAAATATAGCATTTACCCACTTTACGCGTGTCTATCTATTCTTTAGCGCTAGGTATATGTGATAAATTCTTTAGTGTGACATTTATAAGCTTCTTTCGTTTTCTAACCAGCAATAACGATAAAATTTAAAATTAATGTATTTTGATTGGTTAATTATCACGGGAAATCAATGGTAAATCTACGTATCGGTATGTATTTTCACATACAGAAAATTTTCGGCATAACGATAATACAGTAACAAATTTGCGATTTTGATTGTCAAAAATTATTTTCGACATCCATGTATACGCGAAAAGAATTTCGAAAGCTCAAAAAGAAACAACGTAAAAAAGCCTTAAGAATAGAAGCAGCAAAAATCATGGAACAAAAACAAGGCACGGTTTTTATCTTATTAAAATAAATTTATCTATAAGATATTTATGATGGATATATTGAACTTTAGAACACTCACATTCTGAAGAAGTCGTCGAATCCACGAAAGCAGAAGAGATAAAACTGTCAGTTACCTACTTTACGTTGTTAATTTTATAAATATAATATAATAATTCACAATTAAATTTCGTAACTGTTAAGGAATGTTGAAAGAATTCTATGGGAAGCTCGAGAGCGACACATTGATCAAGTTAACGCTGAAAAAAAGCGAAAACAAGAGGAAGAAGAAAGGAAAAAGAAGATAATACAGGTGATAAATACATTACTAATTGTCAAAATTGTGTTTTTTCTCACCTTTCATCTATATTGCATCAGGAAAATTGGGAAAAAACAGTCAAAAGCATAAAAAAGCACAAGCCTTCAGACCATACAACGATTATAAATGAAATGAATTCAGTATTGAATTCATCATCTACTCTGGTATCTATTAGATATTTTAAATTTTATTATTTTCTATAAATTAATTTATTAAATTATATTATTAGATGTCACCTACTTCCGTTGTAACCACTGCATCCTTTCAGGAAACAACGCCCATAGAGTCAGACTTCGGAACAGAGAAAGTAGTGTATCCTGAATCGTATCTTGATAATCTTGATATCCATCCTCCATCATGTATATTTAGTTATTGTAACCTATATAAGAGGAAACACTTAAAGATCAGCATATACTCTATTATTTTATTTTTAATATTTTACGACCAAATTTTTATAATACATCAGGATCAGATCAATTTTATTCTCAAGCTAAACCTGCTAGAGACTTCTGTACTTACAATCTGGCTGATCTAGACTTCG